GGGTCATCCCGCAAAGTGTTCAGATTATGTGGGCAGGTCTGCTGCTGATCGCTTCTCTGCTCTGTGAGGAGAGTCCTCGTTTCTTGTGTCGAAAGGACCGTCCTCTGGCAGCACTACAATCGCTTGCACGACTATGGAACGTGTCACCACTAGATCCGGGTATACATGTTGAAGTCTCAAATATCAAGATTCAGCTCAAACTTGAGCGTGAAGTGGCATCACGATCAGGTCTTATTGGAGTGCTGAAAGAGCTTTTTGGGACAAAATCCCACTTGAAACGGATTGCCTTTGTGTTCATCCTGCAGTGCTTGGGCGAGTGGTCCGGCCCCAACTCGGTGACTAGTAAGTCTCAGCCCCAGAATCAGCAGTACGCACGCTCGGGCTAATCTAGCATACACTAGCATATGCCCCCGAGTTATTCGGACTCTTCGGTATCCAAGGCCAATCGCAGAAACTCTTCACGACGGCGGTCTTTGGTGCGGTCAAGTTTGTATTCGCGCTAATTTCGGCTATCTTCTTGATCGATTATCTGGGCAGGAGGAAGACATTATATATCGGCCTCGTGCTTCAGGTTATCGCACTGACCTATGATTCGATCTTTCTTACTATATTCAGCTCCTTATCTGGTCAGTCGCAAGATGACCCAGCAGTAAGGCATGCTGCCATCGGCGCAATTGTGATGATTTACTTCATCGGCATTGGATGGGCCCTGGGTTGGAATTCAATCCAGTATTTGATCACCGCCGAGTCCTTCCCACTGGGGGTTCGGATCGCAGGGGTCACTCTCGTTACACTGTGGCACTATGCCAACCGGATTGGGATTTCCAAGGTTGGTTCCATGTATATCCTTGGCGCACATCAACTGCTGGATGATATTGACTAGAGTTTCCTTTCCTCTTAGGCAACCACATTGATGCTGCTCGACCACGACTCTCTTACCCCCAAGGGTACCTTTTGGTTTTTCACTGGGATGTCCTTGCTGGGACTCCTATTCACATGGTGTTTCCTGCCCGAAACTGCTGGTAAGGGGCTGGAGGAGACCAATGAGTTGTATACAGGGGATCGGGGTGGCACAACCCCGCACGACCAAAAGGATGCTAATTAGAGTCGGAAGATGAGCGGAATTCGCCCGCCTCTCTGTGTCTACTCAAAAATGAGTTTTAATCGTTGGGAACCAACTACGGTTATATCCGTTGAAAGTCAGGAGGCCGCATATTTCCGTTATTCCTCAAACTAAGGTTTGGGGCTATCAACTTACCCCGCAAGCCAAATGGCTCGTAATTCTCCTCGCTGACATGGTAATGTTCCTTCTACTCCTCTTTAGTGGGTCGAGTTAATCAACATGCTCCGCCACTCTCGACTTCAAGTGGGGTAAGCTTTGGGGTAGTGTCAGATATCGGTCGGACTGCGCATCTCAATTGGCAGAGGATGTTCCAAGCTAGATGATAGGTGCTGTCCAAGCGGAATACCATTCCACCGTGGCCCTTGTCCTTGCAGCTGTAATGCCAGGTTTTTGCGAAGTATAGCCGCGGAATGAACTTCTGCCACCGGTCACACCAATAATTCCTCGTATTCTATAAATCCGAACGTGTCCGTATGGCTTTTCTTACACCGAGGGGCTTTCTCACTGTTTGGCTATCCATTACTCGAGCCACCTTTGGGCTGATCGACTGCGGTGCGCAACATGGAGAATTCTTTTGACTACATTATCTGCGGGTTAGTTTCACTTGATATGGAGTGTGCTTTTGTCCGATCGTTGTCTTCACTATGGCTGATTGCTCGCTTCTACTCTCAGGGGTGGCACCTCAGGATGCGTGGTGGCCGGTCGCCTGGCTGAGAATCCGCACATAAGAATTCTTCTTATCGAAGCTGGACAGCATAATAAAGATCTTGAAAATGTCCATATGGTTGGCGGGTTCGTACGCGCATTGCACTCCTAGGAATTGGTCCAATCTTCTTACTTGATTAGCTGGAGTAATCTGCTCGACTCTACGACAGACTGGAACATTGTCACTCCGCCCATGCCCAACGTCAATAATCGGCAAGTGAAGCTCAGCAGAGGCAAATTTCTAGGTGGTTGCAGTGGCTGCAATGGGACACTTTGCATACGCGGCAGTAAGCAAGATTACGATGATTGGGGTCTGGATGGGTGGAGTGGCAAGGAATTCTTCAAGTACATGCAGAAGGTAAGTACATTCATGGCCATTTACGATAAGCCTGGGGGAAATTGAGGCTCTAGAAAACTAACTTCTTTCTTCCAGGCCGAGACGTTTCATACTAAACCCTGGTTTAAGGCGTCCGATCAGCATCATGGAAACTCGGGTCCGCTTCACGTCGAACCACATGATCTCGCACCCATTTCCGAACGCATCATGGACTCTTTCGTTTCGCAGGGCCTTCCATTGGATCCTGACATGTTCACAACTGGTGAGACACCTCATGGGTGTGGTCATGTACCACGGTCGGTGTTCAATGGCATCCGCACTACCAGCGGAGACTTTGTCACGAATGGGTACCATCGCAATAATGTTACGATCATGACAGACACCACTGTGGACAAGATACTCTTCAAAAAGACTCCAAGTGGGCCCAAAGCGGACGGTGTCTCGGTGGTAACAGCGAATGGGCGACGGACTCTACATGCTAAGAGGGAGATAATCATCAGCAGTGGATCTTATTGCAGCCCTACAATCCTAATGAGGTCTGGGCTTGGTCCGAAGGAAGAGTTGCAGAAAAACAACATTGAGTGCTTGGTCAACCTCCCGGGCGTCGGGAAGAATCTCATGGATCATTTGGTGGGTGCTCTATGGCAGCTTCATCTATAAAGTCTGCATCTAATCAGACCTGTCCAGATCGTTTTCATGTTCTACGAGACAGAAAAGCCTGGTCTGACGACCGACCACCACGTCTACCATGGCGATAGTTTTGACAAAACCTACGCGCTTTGGAAGGAGAAAAAGGAGGGGTTTCTGTCAACCTTCCCTTTTGGCTCCTTCGCTTTTGCGCGTCTAGATGAACGTCTCAAGAATGAGCCACTGTGGAAGAATGCGCCACGACAGCCAGGCCGTGATCCCATGGGTCTGACACCCAATCAGCCAAATGTTGAGCTCTTCACTACGGAATGTTACGGTGGTCCTAAACAGTACGATCAATTTCCTATTGATCACAAGTACGCATTCTCAATTATCGCCGAATTATTCTCGCCTAGGTCTCGCGGTAGTGTGACGCTGAAATCTAAGGACCCCTTGGAGAAGCCTGTAGTGGACTGCAACTACCTCGCAGACCCACTGGATCTGCTTGTGTTAACTGAAGCGTGTAGGTTCGCAAATGAGATCATTACCAAGGGCGCTGGGACGAAGGACATCGTGAAAGGCTCTTGGCCTCCTAATCTGACCCACCATACTTACACGAAGAGAGAACAGTGGATACCTTATGTAAAGGAACATGCGACAACTTGTATGCTCCCTGCTTTTGTCTGTTGGCACCACTTATACTGATTGACTTATCCTAGGCTACCACGCTGGAGGTACCTGCGCAATGGGCCCAGATGGCGATGCCAACGCTGTTCTCGATAACAAGTTGCGTGTTCGTGGCGTGACCGGACTCCGTGTGGCAGATTGTAGTGTCATGCCAACTCTAAACGGAGGACATACTCAGATGCCTGCTTATGGAATTGGCGAGAAATGTGCGGACCTCATCAAAGAAACATGGGCATCTCAGCTGAACCCTCGACGTTGCGAAGCTTTGAGGTTTCTTTCCGTATCGGTGCCAACAGTGCGGCTTTGGGGACCGGCAACCGTCTGGTTCTTGTAAAGCTGTAGATTTGCTTGGATATTTACGTTACATATATGTCATGAGCTACGACGCCTTTCTCTGATGTTTAAGACTTCAATTGCCTCCATGGTTTCGTTCCCACTATTTATTATGAAATAGATCAGACGATAACTTAACCATAGAAGATTGGAGCACTTATATGTTCAATATAATTTCACCATTCTCAAGCTGGCCACCTCGCAGTAGGTGTCTGCGCTAATCACCTGGATACCCCTCAAAGTCGAAGGGGAAGCATTGTATATGGATTTATTTATTTACGCGATCTATAAGCTCAACCTTTCCCCTCCTTTTCAACAACAAGGTTGTGTAGTGTAATGGTTATCACTCTGGATTCTGATTCCAGCAATCCCGGTTCGATCCCGGGCACGACCTTTTTGTATCCTTGGCATCATGGTCCGCCATGAATTTTTTTTAGCCCGTCATTTGTCTCTATTATCCTTACCTAAATAAACTTTGTCATATTTTCCTCTTCTTGCTATAACTCCCTCCCACCTCGGCCTTAGCTACCCGATTGACAATGATACTTATCACCCACCCGATAACCCCCTAAACACCCAATAACAACCACCTCCCGTCAGCCTTGTGGGCCCAACCGCCAATTCTACCTCAACGCTACCCACTCCTTACGAAGCCGATAACCCGTCCTACCAGCCAACCCACTCCAATGCGCCATTGCCATTTGTCCGTCCTCCCTTAGGGCTGTCGCAGTAAGGCTGATAGCGTGCTTGCGTGCTCCCAGCAGAAAATGGCGCGTGAAGAAAGAAAAAGAAATACGCTGCGTTGTACAGGATATCCAGCCAGATGGTATGTTCCCAGTTTCTTTTTCTTTTCCAATCCCGCTCGGAGATTTTCGTAATAAGGGGGCTGCTCTGGTTTGCCTTCTTTCGTTTGTACTGTAAAGTTACCTATCTATTTATGGAGATATTCTCCTCCCCTCCTCTTAGGGTTTAGGGTGCTGAAGAGGGGGGTGGCTAGACTCTTCCAATCTTCCCATCTGTGATGGCGTCTCGTAACTTTGCCTTTTAATCTATCTATTCCTTGTGTTTTAATCCGATATACTCGGTGGTGTTATCATTGCTTGCGTTGCCGCATGCATATATCATCTTAATTTTATCCTTGTACATATCTCATCGCCTTATTACTATACATCATACTACTGCTCAGGAATGTCAGAGCCCTTCCACCCCGCGAAATCACCGGCTCTCCCGGTCGTGGAATCCTCCACAGACACCAAGTCCCCTCAATCTCAGCAGACGAAAGTGCGCCGTTTAAGAGAGACAGTCGACAGCAACTATGCCGACATCATCTGTATCATTCTATGCTTCGTCACGGGGCTTTGCGACAGCTCCGCGTTCAATGCGTGGTCATGCTTCTTAGCTATGCAAACCGGTACATCTCCCCTCCCCCCCTTATCCCAGCACACCACTTCCTTCTCATTACTGACAAACTCATTTAAAACACAGGAAACACCGTCGTCCTCGGCCTCGGCGCCGCCTCCCTCCCCAAAGACGACAGCGACAGCTGGCTAAAATCCATCGTGTCAATCGCCAGCTTCGTGACCGGCTCATTCATATTCAGCTTCGTCGGCCGACACCTCGGTCCTGCCCGTCGCGGCACGCTCTTCGCCTCCTTCATGGTGCAAGTGATTCTCATCGTGATTGCCGTCTCCCTGATCCAGTCTGGACTTATCGCGGAATCCGAGGACGTCGTCGCCTCTGGCCATCACCATGGCGGCAAGCTCCTCGAGCTGATCCCCATTGGCTTGCTGGCGTTCCAGTCCTCCGGTTCTATCAATAGTACGCGCTCGTTGGGATTTAATGAGATCCCGAGTGTGGTTATCACGAGCGTGTATTTTGATATTGCGTCGGATAAGAATATTCTGGCTGTGCAGAATGTTAAGCGGAATAGGAGAGTTGCGGGTGTGGTGGCCCTGTTGATTGGGGCGATTGTGGGCGGTTGGTTGAATAGGAGTGCTGGCGGCATGGCGTCGACTTTTTGGTTGGCGGCTGGGATTAAGTTCCTTATTGGGTTGGGGTGGTTGGTTTGGATGCCTGTTAGGAACTAAGTAGGTTGTTGGACGGGGGTGGGCTGGGGGAGTGGTGCGATCACTTGGGGTATGGTGGTTAGTGAGGGATGCGATGTGTGTATGTAGGAAGGGAGTGCGATTGTATAGTATATTGTTTGGGAGGGCGTTGTTGTATAGATGGATGAGTTAGACTTGGTTTGGAAAAATAGAAGGTATAGATTTCTTTTTCATGCTTATTTGCTGAGTAGGGTGGGTGCCAATGTAATCGTTAGTAGCATCATACTTTACAGGTAAAAATAGCAAAGTTCAGTTGATCATCAATATAGTGATGAAAATATCAGCACTTGCTATAGTATGCATCATTCATGACTTCCATTATGATTAACACAACCGTTGCAGGACGCTCAATACATTGCAAAGCATCAGGTGACTAGTGGACAGGGTCGAGTTGCCCTTCGATATGTACATGATACTGCCACTGCTGCTCTGCTCTGTCTTGCGTCTCGGTGATTAACATGTCATTCCTTGTTCCATGTTTCAGGATACGCTATCGTACAGTCTTCCTCCACCTCACAAAGCCCACATCCCTCAATTGGTATAATTCCATCTTCTCATCAAGTATTTAGTCGCGCATAGGGCGCAGAGGGCTCTGACGGGGGAGCATCATCGGGGGTCCGCGAGCGCGGAGCCAGGCGTCGTTGTGAGGGCCTTCGGTACGGATAACGCTGCCGATGGACATGAAGAGACTATCAAAAGGTATGGTTAGTATCAAGCTGCTAAACATACAAAACCGATATATAGTCATAGAATCGCAAGGAATTGCGCAGAACGTACCCAAAAGTAGCACCAGAACCAAGCATATATTTACCCAGGGTACGCATAACACCGTTAGGTCCAGCTCCGTACTGGAAGATGGTGACAGTTCCTGCTTCATATTAGTCGGGGTCAAAGGAGGGGTTTCGTTTGCATAGACGAACCGATGATGAAACCCATGATACCTCCAACAGCTGTTGAAAAAAGATTAGTACCGTAATGAACAGCATGCAAACTTGTTCAACCTACTGGATCCCATCATGGCACCCATCTTCACTGTAAATAAAGTCAGTAAATCAGTACGGCAAATTGAGCGAAACCCATCCAGCTGGTGAATGGCATGGGATCCGGTTAACTAACTCTTCTCAAAGGTAGAGGGACCATGCCCTTGAGGGGGACCAGCAACGACGGGCATGTTGAATGATAGTTGATAAATATACAGCGAGCGTAAAGAACTTGACAGCACAAGACCAGTTTCCCTCAGATGGTCGATTCCTCCGGCTTCAGTCTTCTAGAGTCGGCAGCAAAGCTCCAACGGTGGGCGCATCGAAACCCGAGGCCCAGAAGCACGTGACACCGCCTGCCGTATTGAGAACCAAAGGTCCGTGCGGTGTTACCTAAGCACACGTGTGTCCACACGTGATTTTTGGCCTCAGGCGTAGGGAGACGAAGGAAGCCGTGAGCTGATCGGCTCTTCTCTCCCGCCGCATGTTGGTGGCTCTCCCCATGAAGTCTGCTCCTGAATCGTCTGATCCAGTGCCTCGACTTACTTTTTCGGCGGCTTAGGAGCCTGTGCAAGGCGGTAGTTCCGTCTCGTGCCTCCGTCTTCGTCGCTGCCCGGTCGCTTGGTCCGTTCACTCCTCGGTTCGGGCCAAGACCTCCACGCCTCCTTGGTCAGGACTGAAGCGCCTTCTTGCCTCCCTATCAGATCCCTTTTCTAGACTCACCTGTTCATACTCATCCTGCCGTGGTAAGTTTGACTTGCTAGCTGTTGGGTCTCGCATGGCACTCGACGATGGCAGGCGCTGTTGCGTCGATGCGGAACGGACTCGATGTTTATATGAGGGTCGTCCGGACAATTGCTAACGTGACCTCTCACCAGCCGAACGGACTGTATTCACGATATTTCCGCGCGCCTACCGTCGCTACAAATATTTTTGCCTTCGAGGTCCGTCGCGACGGGCACTCACGGGCGGTTAGCATCCGAACGCTTCTCCTTGCATACGTTGACGATCCTCTTTTTCCGTTGAGCGGACGAGCGCCTATGAGATAGAGCTCCTTTCCATCACACTCACCATACGCTATCCTTCTCCATGACTGCTGTGGCTTCACCACCTAGCGTGCAATCGGGCCCTCACTTGGGATGGTTCGACTCTGGTAACGGAGGACAAGGTGCTCTGTCTTCAATGGACGCGGAAGAAGTCTCACGAACATTTTTGCCGCGAAGGACTGTTCAGAGATCGAATTCCTCCTCCTCCTTAGCATCTACTTCATCAACCTCAACCGCTATAGTCACGCCGCAACCCTCTAATGCGGGGCACGTGAATAACGTCGAACACGCTACATGGTCATCAAAGAAGAAATCCTCAAGAAATAACTGGACAACTTCTAAGTCAGAGCCGGTGGCTGGGCTGAGCAGCGCCCGCTCCCAGGCTATGCCGGCCTTTTCTTCGGGCCCAGGAGCTTCTTCTACTATGACCGCGATTCACCAGCCGTCTTCCATTGTTCCATCTCAACACATGCTTCAAGCATCACAACAAAATGGCGTACGCGCCGCGAGCGCACCAGCAGGCGATCCTCCCGCCATCCTCACACTCTTACCCATCAACGGTACCTTCGACAAGAAGCAGATCAACGTACCGTTCTATCCGGACCTACTACGCATAGGCCGTCAGACAAACGCCAAGACTGTGCCAACCCCGGTGAATGGTTACTTCGATTCCAAGGTGCTGTCTCGACAGCACGCCGAGATCTGGGCAGACAAGAGCGGAAAGATCTGGATCAGGGACGTCAAGTCGTCCAACGGTACATTCGTCAATGGGCAGCGGTTATCTCCGGAGAATCGCGAATCCGAACCCCATGAGCTTCGCGAGAACGATACCTTGGAGCTTGGAATTGATATCGTCAGCGAGGATCAGAAAACGGTTGTTCATCATAAGGTTTCCGCCAAGGTTGAACATGCCGGCGTATACAGCAGCATTCCGAATATCTTGGACCTTACACTAGGTGACTTGGATCCTGCTTCTGGAAATGGACTGCTCCCGTCTCCCCTTAGTCAACCGATGTCGCATCTGAGGGGACGATCGGGAAGTACTATGAGCAACCGCAGTGCTCAGAGTGCAGCCAGCAGTCAATTCAACGCAATTCAACAACAACGTCAGATGAACTATTGGAATTCCCCTATATCTATAGAACAAGTTGTCAAGCGACTTACGGTATGTCATCAAGGTCACATTCGCAGCGAGCTTGCTCTAACAAGATTTCAGAGTGAAATGAAACAGGCCAAACAACAATCACAAGAGCTCCGGCAAACAGACGAGTTCTTGACTACTATAATGAAACCCGGATATGCGGAGAAGGAGAAACCGAAGCCTTCGCCAGCGGATAATAACGCACCCCGTCCAGTCAATGGGCGGCCAAAGATGCCTCGCGTAGATTCTTTCTCTCGCTTTTCGGACCCTCCAGCTCCTCCACCGCAGCAACCCTTGCCCGAAAAGCCCGATGCTTTGCCGCGGAACGGCACAGACGCCCTATCGCCGTTGAAGCGATCCGAGACAGAAAAGTCTAAGCTTGGCCCGAACTCGCCCGTTACACGTGAAAATAGCCAGATTTTGTCTCTCATTGAGGCTCTGTCCTCCGCCAAAAGGGAGCTCGATAGCCAGGGTGCTCGTGTTAAGGAGCTAGAAGCGTTGCTGATTCAGGAACGAAATGCTCGTGAATTCGCCGAGGAAAAGGCCCGGAGCTTGGAGATGAAGTCCATTCAGCCTGCTCCAGGCCTCACCACAAATGCTGAACCTGAAGACGATAGCACCAAGACGTTGACTGAAATGGAAGAGCCAAAGACTATGCCGCCGGATGCCGAAGCTTCGATCGATTCTGATGCACCCGCGTCTGAAAAGGAGTCCTTGACAGAAAGTCAAACAGATGTTTTACAACGTCGTCTCGAGTCAATGATACTGGAGATGGAGGAGATGAAGAAGCAAGTCACAATGTTCAAAGACCGGGCAGAAGTCGCGGAGAATGAGACTGTTGAGGCGCGGAAGTCGCTGGCGGAGATGATTGAAACTCTGCGACAAGAGCGCGCAGAGCGTGCTCAGGGCAATGTAGTGTCTGGTGCGCAGACAGATGCTCCTGCTCCTGCTGGTTCTCCATCTGAGCCACAAGAGTCCGCCGAAGAGAAGGGCAGCGTGTGCGCTGAGCAACCACAGCTCACTGCGACGCCGTCAGCTACAAAAGCGGTGGACAACGCAAACACGACGTTTGCGACACAATCACACCGCCACGACGTCTTAGAGCAATCCAGTCCTTTTGCTTCTATGCTTGGAGTGGTGCTTCTCGGCGTTGGGCTGATGGCTTACCTGAACAGCTGGCAGAAGATGGACAAATGATCATTCTGGCTAGCACACCATGCCTTTTGCTGGCGCATGACATAAATTGTGCATTCGATAACACCTTGAAAAGCTCGTCTTGTTCTTCAAGTTCCTAACCTTCGATCCTTCCTTCACACCTTTTCTTTCTGATTCTCCACTGGTTCTTTTTCATCGTTTGTCCCATCTTGTATTCTGCTCCAATGCTCAGCAGGGATTGTGCGCTAGGTTTATGGGTCGATTTTTCTTCTTTACCCGTTATTTCCGTTTATTCCCTCTTCTTGCCCCCCTCTTATGTGCAGTTATCCTTTTTGCATAACTTGCATGACCCTCCCTCACTTTTCTTGTTTGTTCCTAGATATCACTCTTCGTGGGCACCCTGTTGTTCCAGTAACGATTTCCTGGCAGCAGTGGGATTTCTTTCTATGTCGATGTCTCTTTCTCACGGGCAGAAGCAGGTCGTGTAAAAGGCTCACCCGCCTTTGTGTATTAGTCTATCATAGCATACTCCTTTTTCAGCCGAGCGATGAATGACCATCTCATGCTTTTCTTGTTTCCTTTGACGACCTATACCCGGACGTTAATCATTAAATGCGTATGCTTTTTCTATAGTTTAATACTTGGCGTGTTTGGACCTAGTACTTAGTAGTATCTTCGCGATGGCGACCTCACGTGATGCGCCCCATACATTGATCGCCGCTGCCATCCGACGGGTTTCTAGTAGCTACAACCAAGTACAGCTTGCTGCTGTTCCCGTACAAACATGCAGTCAAGACCGTCTAGTATAGCGAAACCTCGTCCCAAGCGTCGACAGCGAATTTGTCGCGCATGTGATGCCTGCTACAAGAGGAAGGTACAGATTACTATCTATTCACAATGCCTTATGTTGTTGTCCACCCCGATACTAACCCAATCTAGATCCAGTGTGATGCAGCAACGCCCCGCTGCAATTGGTGCCATCACCATGATCTTCCTTGTACTTTCAGACGCAACCAGGAACGCAATCAGGAACGCTCTAGATCTCATGACTCTTCAAGGTACTGCTTTTTCAATGTAGTTATGTTTATATACTGACTCGTCCAAGCTCCCAACGGATTAGTTCCACAGAAATACCGCTTGCTTCGCAAGGTAAACACATTATGCCCTTTCAGCCATCATATTGATTTGTTTGAGACTTTGCGTTTGTTCGAGGGAGACATTGATTATTCTGTGGATAGGCATAGATCTGAATCACCAATCGGGCCCGCCATTAAGACAAAATGGACCGGACTTGACCTTTACTCTTACAGTCGGGCCCCAGAACAATCTCCATGTCGGAGGACATGCTCTCGGGAATTTATGCACCTTCAATGGCCTGCCATTCTTCTCCGCTACTGGCCGCCAGTGGATAAGGGAGCGCACCGGCGAAGACGTGAATCTCGAGTATACATCACCAAGGCCATCTATACTCGACCCGTCAACGCCCAATGGGGTCCCGCATGCAGTACCACTTCCGGACAAGGGGATTATGTGTCAGCTGCACGACGAGTGGCAGAGTTCAATACTTTCCAGAATGTTCCCTTTTGTAGACCGAGTCCTCCTTGAATCAACTGTCGCTGCCGCCTACCATAACGAACTGAGTGTCTCATCTCCTGGTGCTGACAGCGCTAGAGCCTGCATTCATGCGTTTACGGCAATCTGCGTACATGCCGCAGACCAGCAACATGGGCATAGAGTAGTACATACAGAGGACCACCTTCAAACCGCCCACGACTTGGTCCCCCGGATGCTACACGAGTCTGTCACCATAGATGGCCTGCAGGCCGTTCTGATGATAGTAAGTTTGACAATCTCGCACTGATTTGTGGAAGATGGAAAGGAGTGTTAGGGTGAAGAGTGAGCGAGGTATGCAGGTGCTAATACATTTTACGAACTAGAGTCTTTGCTCCTTGGTAGTCACAGGAAATATCCTGATTCTCGAGATGTTACTCGCATCCGCGATACGATTCGTCTTCCATCTAAATGGTCACCTTGCCCCAGTCTACACCGACGACGACCAATTCAGGAGGAGCCTGCATGTTCGAGAATTATTTTGGATATGTTATATCATGGATAAGGAGTTTAGTCTACGCGCGGGTCATCCTCCGTGCCTGGATGAGAGTCAGTGCGACCTCACACTCCCTGATATCCACCACACTGCGCCAGAATTTCTCGCAGGCATACGTCTTGCCATGCTTCAATCTGAGGTGTATCATCGATTATACTCCTTGAAGGCTTTGCGCCAGACAGATGCCCAATTATTGGGTGCTATTCGCGATCTCGACAGCGCCTTGGAAATTTGGAGAATGTCTATTCCCACCAACTTTCGGCCACGCCTCATTGATCGGGAAACAAACGCCATGGACACTCCAAATACAATCTTTCAATTACACTACCTGTACTGCATGAGTATGATACATCAAGCAAGTGGAAGATGCTCTGCCTGGGTCCAGAATCACGATACATCTGAAGCGGGATCGAGTCTCGCCATCAGCGTTGAAGCCAGTCGTTCGATGCTGCAGAAGTTCTTAGATGACCGTCTTGATTTCAACAAGACCAACTTGAGGTAAGCATCGGTTGTGGAAAGTTCATTGTCTTTATCATTAACATGTTATACAGGTTTACTCTTCCCTATTTCCTGACAGCTATCTGTCATCTTTTTTCTAACATTCTTTTTAATCCAACGCACGGTGGCATCGATGACGACTTGGAACTGTTCATGTCAGTGCCAACTCATATCAGAACATGCGTACCGCCAGAAATTCCGAGATTATCGGCTTATCACATCAAGCTCTTCGAAAACTTCGTGATGGAATTAGGACGCCTTGCTAGTAGTGCTATTAACAAGGCGCGAGCTGGATCTCAACATGTGAACTAAGAGTTGCTTCAGATGTGAACAGCAATTTGATTTTCAGTAACACTAGATCGCTAGAGGGGTTGCCGTGCCGTTGTACGTGAAGAATACCCATACTTCGATGAGATCGATGGCCGACCATGCTAGTGTGTTGCTGCTGAGCGCCCGCTGCATGTGGATTCTGGGTACACGCTGCGTGACCGGGAGAATCTTCCAAGGCAGCCGGCCTGCCGTCGTCGTGACACTGGGAAAGCGCACAATCGGCACAAGGTCTAGATCCATTGCGGCTGTTCGAGGGGCCGGAAAGCGACTGAAGCCGGACTGGGCTTGCCGGCTGAGTTGCATCAGCATCTGCATGAATGCTTGGCCATGGCGCCCGCAAGAGAAGGGATTTATCCGCCTGGCTGGTATATTCAGTAGCGTGCCGCCTGGATTCGTATCGTCCAGTTTATTTCCTTTCCATACCATCTCACGGAAACCTCACTTCAACGAAACCGCCACCTCCACCATATTCACCCACCTCGTCCTAGTCTCGGGCAGCTCTTCCTCGCCCTCCAACCGCGCAACGGCTCTCTTTCTCTTTCGCATCGCTGACTTGGATAAATCACCATTCCCATCCTTCAGCTTCGCTTCCTCAACCTCCTTTTTCAACCTCTCACTCTCCTCTACCGCCTTCTTCCTCTCTTCTTCATCCTCCACCACATCGTCGACCACAAGAACACTCCCCGTCTTCACGCTCACAGTATACTCCTCTCCCCTCGCCTCAAACCACTTCCCCACCTTCAAGGCCCTCTCCATTGCCCGTCCCGTAGCCTTCACAAATACCTCCTCTTTCTTCAGCGCTTCGTTACTCTGCGCCAATTGTGCGATTTGATTCCTTCGGTCGCCCTTCTTTCCTTTGTTGTTTCCGCTGAGCAATTTTGCCGTGGCGCGGTTCTCCGCCGCCCGAAGGTACTTCTGGACGCGCTTGATGACGCCCATTGTGGGGGAGCTGGAAGAAACGTAAATGGTTTTGGGAGATGAGGAGCCCGAATACGGGGAGGGTGTGGAGGGATGTGGGATGGGGCGCTTTTGGACTTTCACATCTGCATTGCGTAGCAGGTTAGTGGGGTTGTCGCGAGAAAGAGGCGGAGGAAGGAAGCTTACGTTTGGGGAGTTTTGGCATCTTCTGGTTCTTTTTCTCGAATTCGAGGGTTTTGGTTAGTGGAGCAGGCGTCATCTTGGCCGTATGAGGAGGTGTAGTCGAGATTGCTGGTAATAAAACACGCGTGGGTAGTTGTATACAGAGATGAGGGAACGAAGAGGAGCGAAGCAGCGATAAAGTAAAGTGATGGAATTGGGAAAATGAGGTGCCATTCCGAATGAGGTTAGCGCGGTCAGGTCGTGGTTCTTATCGGGCTTATCGCTGACATTCCCTCTTTTGGAAATTCCCATTGTATTCCAATCGTCATCATCATCATTCATTCTCGTATGCCACATTAAGAGAGTATCATCATTGACAACATTCTACTAAACCAAATCCCAAACGCCATAGCTTTTGTACAGTCTTACCATATCCCCCCTACGCCACCCCAACTACCAATCAGTACGCAGCCTGCAACTCAGCTTTCGGCTCCTCGGCAGAGGAAAACAGCGCCCGCATCTTCTTCTTCCGGCTCTTCTTCCCCAGCTTCTTTCCATTAACATTGACATTCTCAGCCGGAGGGACATTCTCAGTCGCAGCAGTCTCCTCCGTCACTGAACGCTGCATCTCAGGGTACTCCGGGACAGGATCTTCGATCGGCGGCGGCGGCTGCTGCTGCTGCTCAGGAACAGCAGTAGGCTTCTCCGGCGTCGCTCCATCATGCATGTCGTTCCTGTACCAGTCCCTATCCTTGTTCGCCCAGTTGCGCCATGCGCCCCACCGCTCAGTCAAAATGTCTTTCTCTAGCGCGTGCGACTTCGTCTCGGGCTCGGGGCTGGGCTCCTCGACGATCGTCTCTTCAGTCGGGGCGTAGCGCTCCTCCTGTTGTTGCGCTTCAGGGACGTATACGTCGTCTGTTAGCTCGGGGAAAGCTTCCATGTGTTCTCTTGTGGTGGTGGTGAGGGGTGGCTCGTCCTGGATTGAGTCCGGGTATCCTACTTCCGAGGGGGCGCCTTCGGAGGGTTGTCTGTCTGACATGGTTTCCTCGATGAAGATCACCGCTTTATTGTAGTTTCGTCCGGGGCTGGTGGGCGTGGGCTCCATGTATCCACCATTACTGATCTCATGATCTTGCTCTTCCCTGTGATTCTCGTCCTGGTCATGATGATGATATCCGTTTATCCTAGGATACTGCTTCAGCTCCGACAACTTCGCCTCGTAGATAGCTACCATGGCCTGCACCAAGCACGTCACGAACCCGGGCTCCGCGCCAAGAAGGTACTGGAATCGCGGGCTCTCGAAAAGATCTTCATCTTCATCGAACGCCGCGGCGAGACGGCTCCGTACATATACGCTGAAGAACCACTGGTCCCAGTCCGGGACCTTGGTGATGGCTTTTCTGGCCACGCTGAGGACGTCGAAGATGGAGAGGTCTTTGTCGAGCTTTTGCATGTATTTCTTGGATAGGGTTAGTAGGCCGCTCAGTTCGTATTTGGATGCTGCGGCGTAGGCGAGCACGCTGCGTCGGTACTCCGTCTTGGTCCAGTCGCCGCTGTGGCGGAGGGTTTGGTACGTGCCGGTGTGTAGGTAGTGGACGATCGTGTGGGTGATGTCGTCGTCGATGTCTGGGAGGGCGATGCAGGGGGTTGTGCGGGTGATGAAGTTCGGGTAGGTGCTTAGGATGTCGGCGAAGACGGGGGATTGCTTGAGATAGTATTCTGGGATGGAGAATTTGCGTTCGCTGGGGCCGAGCAGGACGATTACGAGGCGGGTTTCGTAGGGGCTGTAGCGGTGCCGATGATGTATGGTTAGTAGGTGGTTGTGATAGGTGGAGGAGGTGGGTGATACTCACGATAGCTCGGGCTGCTCATACTCCTCGAGATCGTCATCGAACTCGGGCTTCACGTTGGGAGTATATCTAGCAGACATGTTGCTGGTGTTGCCGCCGGCGACCATGTCTGTAGCCGTACTTGCAGTAGTGGTGGTAGTAGAAGTAGTAGTAGACTTATCCCAACTAATACTGACACTAACGCTCAAATCTTCTTCTTCTTGTTCGTCGTCGTCGTCTTCTTCTTCTTCAGCCGAGAAATAGTATTGAAAGATGACCTCCAGAATGTCGAAGTATAGGGTCAAGTCAAACGGTCAAGCAGCAGCACGATAGTTGCTAACACGACCGGACCAAAATAACGGAGAAATTCACTACAGATTCTAAAGATGCAGCAGCAGGGGGGAACACGCAGGATATACCTACCCTACCCTCCTCCCCTCCAGCAATGCAATATTCACTCAGTGAGTAAGACATCAACTCATACCCTATGAGCTGTCCACCCGATGATGATTTCCCTTGGGCCAATGACACGACAACACATCAAGCTGGAGGTGCTTGAAACCCAATGCAGTCCATCCCAGGTGCCATGTTTCATCTGGTGGTTTGGGTGGAGATCCCGGTATAAGCTTGATGTGTTGGCGGTTGTTGAGGGTGGGTTGTTATTGGGCAGATTTGGGCGTGAGTGATGCTAAAACTAGTAGGCACCGGGTAGGAACTTGTTCATCCCCACTTGGTTACTGGCGGGAGAATAGCTGAGGCATGTCATTGTTGCTGTTTTGTTGCTGCTAACGGAGAATTTTGTTTAGTTGGTGGGGTGGGTTTGAAAGTGGAATTTTCTTTCTCCACTTATTGTCATGACAGTCATGCCTTTTGTTGTGGTGGGATTTGAATCTCTTGGTTTGGGTTGGGAGAAATGAAAGAGTAGTTGCGGTGGTGGGGATTCTGCACCCGAAACATCCCCGATGATCCCAGATACTTGAAAAGGCAATAGACAAGCCTGTCCAGTTGTATTGATGTTTAGATTCCGGAGTAATAGTAAGTTTCATTGTCAGTAGGATGATTGCGGGGTCGAGTACTGCATGACTGGGGACGTAGATATTTGGCTAATGGTCCGTGTTTTTAAGTGGAATGAGGGATGAATCGACTAGGTCTCGTCTACTAATATTGCCTACATTTGCTAAAATCTCACTGAGTGAAACTTGATTGTATATGCTAAGTCTTAGATAACTTCATAAGCCACGTATTCATCGTAGCACGTCATAACAGTCGTCACATCATTATGTCTCGTAAACGCTCTCATATCAGATCATAACTCCATCCCAAAATACGTAACCCTGGTACACCATGCACCGATATACCATCAAAAAGCCGAATGCATTCGTAGATTATCTCTCGTCTGCGAATTCCGAAATATTCCTTTGCCTTTCAGTCCTAACATCGTTGCAAGAACTCCACGTCGTTTCGATCGTATATTCGTTTCTGGGCCATGTGCTTCCACACGCACCAGCCCGATATCTGAGGGTTTGTCTGCTGTGGTAGTACGCCGGCTTCGCACCATAGTCTTCACAGCGTTGGTGATCTGCGTCCGGATGGGCGGAAATTCAGACTCCTCGCTTGAAGGAGCCAGATCCGGATCATCTTCGTAAGTCTCTTTCATGACTCGGGCATTGTCTTCTTGGGCTGCTTTTACGCAGCGGATGAGGATGTTGTGATGACCCAGGCAGCGACGAAGATCGGGGGTCTGAGATGCAGCTTCACGTTGCAGCTTGCCGTGGGAGATGGCTGCCAGCTTTCCGGGCATGGCCGGTCGGTTTGTGAGTTGAGAGATGCCCGCACTGAGGCGGGGTGCCCGACGGACTACCGTCGTGGGCAGGTGGAGGAATTCTGCAACTGCAGACATGGTGTTGAGGGGCTGTGGAGACGGATGGTCTTTGAATTGAACAGAAGTGTATCAGATGAATGCATTTGAGTGGTGATCTGGATTGCAGTGTGGGCGACATAATGCATTATATACTGATTTGCCTGCATTTGTTGAGACAAAGAAAATCGCAGCAAAATACCCAAATAGGAAGGAGTAGGCCAAAGCCGTCGTATGCTGGAATTAAGATTCGTCAACCCGTGGGGAGAGAAGAAGCTCGACCATGGATGAAACACGTAATCCTGGCCTGTCTGTCGCTGGACTCCGAGTCACAACGTCAGTCATAACCTAGACATTGCAGTCCCAGTAGGGCCTGGAATGCCACGCGGCGTCGCTCCCTCTTTTCTCCCTGCTGAGACGGTCTTGCTCGGGGTGGCTCTCAGCCAGGGTGGCCACTTAGTCACTCTGGAATTCTCGAGTTCATGGATCGACATTACCATTCCCTTGGTAGGATCAAGCCCGTCATCCCCCTGCCCAGGCTTTCCATTTGCGCGTTGACTCGCCGTCACAGCCTAAGTTACCTTTTCTCGAGTCAGATAACTTCCGGTGCCCTGGTTTGTTCCCCGGTCACGTCTAGGTCCCCCAAAGCATCCAAACCCCACGACAGGTTCCAGCGGCAGCACATTCCGCCTCTCATATCGCTTGGAATCTTAGGTAATGAGTGATGAAGCGTTGTGCGTTGAAACACTAGTCTTCTCCACCATGATTCATGGAGATACCGTCATTGATCGTGAAATCAATAGCATCATGACTGGAGGAGCTCATGATGAAGGATAATTCCATCCCTTTGCCACTGATTTGCTTGACATTCAATATTTTGATGCTGAATGGCATGCTAGGTAAGTGTGTCTCTTGCTCTCGTGGCCTGTTTCACTAGCCCCGAAAATCCCTCGTAGATTCAGAGTGTACTAGCCAGATCAGCTTCACTAACGGATCTACTATGGGGAGAAGACTAGCTTATCGACAGAGATTGCTTGCCCCGCCTTCGGCGGCGGGGGGGGGAATGGCGTCACAGCCCACAATGATCAGTGCCCCGTTGAGACTGAGACTGCAGGGGCGAGAGAGGGAAGAGACTGCGTCGCAAAAACCCCCTCCGACCACGTGCTTCGAGGCCTTCGGGGAGTAAATAATCCACCGACGTTATCATCCACTGCAGTCACCCAAGGATTCGTACAAACAAATCCAGAGTTATAACCTTGTTTGCCTCGGGCTCCATCGCCTATTGGCTTGTTGTAGACTAGTGCCCAGGAGGTGTTGTTGACGTCGCCACTCTTCTGAAGTCTCGCCCTCGTTACATTCCCAACATCTGACGGTTTTTGTCGGCCCCTGTTTCGATGGGTAAGGTGTGAATGAACCCCACTGCTGCTGGTGACACCATTGTTCTATTGTTAGAGGATTTAAGCTCAGTAGCAGCATGCCGATCTTGTGAACAGTTTCGATGCCGGACAGACACAGGATAAATCACTTGTTTGCCATCCTGATCATATGCGATGAGCTATGGTAATTGGGACAAAGGAGACATGATGATCAACAAGAACATCTCAGGAATTCTTTCTGACCTGCTCATTGTCTCTCATTGCTTTATGTGCGTCATTTGATATCCACGGATTTGATCTTCTTGTCGGCGATACGTCTAGGCATACTCCAAGTTTCAGACTCCACATGTGGATGACTTGTTCAACTTGTTTCACTAACAGATTTGAGCTCCATAACAGCCCGCATGATATTATAGGTCCAGATTGATCATCTGTGTGATCGCGCCTCCACATTTCAATGAAACAAGCGAATCAAAAGCTCCTACAAATTACTCTTGCAGCACACAGACCCCACCGGCTCTGGCGCCTTATACTCGACACTCTGATTCGCCTTCTGGTTAGATGGAGGTACGTCATTTGTCGGATTGAACAGACAGAAATTGTAAGGCTTCAGATGCACCTGAACAATCTCTGCCGGCATAACTGGGAAGTCCTCCACACGGGGATTGTGTGTAAGACCGTAAGTATGCCAGATGACAATATCCTGGTTGCGGACATTCTCCCGGGACTCAACCCAGGACTTGATCCCTGTGCCACCCAGCGACTGGTTTGTGTATTTTCCGGCCGGGAAGAGCTGGTCGTCGTGATACCGGGTGATCCAGATCGAGTGCTCGGCGAATTCAGACCGCCGCCAATGCCAGGAGCCGGGTTTGGCTAGAAGCATCTGTATTCGGTGATTGGGGTTAGTATTACTACCTTATGCCGTGTCCGATAACTGCTGCTTCGTGCTCTTGATCTCTGGTTCCTCCAATCTGCTGCTGATTCTGGGACATTGGATAGGGAGGACCTTACCTGGGACCTATGAGGAACGAGTTTATACCCCAGCGGAGTACCCGAGACCGGGTTCTCGATGTTTTCATTTAGGATTTGGAAGACTCGGCCTTTGCTGACATCGTCTTCGACATGGCCTGCTCGGTCCAGAATCGTCTGCTCTGTCACATAGCCTGTACCAACGGGATTGAGTTGATCGTCCCATGGCATGGCCACAGAATCTGTGGAAGCAAAGCTATTGTGCACACCGCCAATCGCAGGATCAATACGAAGGCTAAATAAGTGCTGGTGGTACGGGGCCATGACACCATCTGCCACCCGGGTTCCCCACGGAACCACGACGTCTTTTCCAATAGGCTGAGTGGAGAGGATCCCAGTTGCTCTGGTCTCGAAGGTGATTTCACCAGACTGGTCAAAGTACCACATGAAGATGTATTCGTAATTGGCCACTGTAATGATAGTCTGGAGGACCAATTGGCGCTTGCGTACTACTGTTGCTTTGCCGGTACGGTGGTTGGTGTGCTTCCATTGGATCCCGTTGTCGATTTCGTGGATACAGATCGCATTGGGTCGGGGAGATGCATTTCCGTCCACTGACACGACGTGACCGTCTATGTACTTGATCATACCGAGACAGTCGCAGCCCACTGATAACATAAGCTTGGATACTGAAGATAAAGGAGCCAGTACTTACGCTGAAGGTTGTTGGCTGTCACACCTGCACCCACATTTCCCAAATCAAACGCAGCCTTACGGTAGATGGGATTGCGCGGATCACCATACGGAACAAACATCTCAGCGAGTGATAGACGGTAGAAGTTGCTTTTACCATCGAAGGAGAGGTCATGCAGCGTTAATCCTGTCTATAGTCAGAAAACGGTCTATTAAACTGGGATGTGATAATACCTTCACGCCAGTTGAAACCAATTCGGAATCGCCATTTCTCCCACTCGACAAGGTGGCCCTTGACAGTAAAGGAGGCACCCTCGGGCTGGACCACCTGATATGGCTTCAATGTCATCCGAGGGGGGGTCTTCTGTAGACGGTGGTCATATTCAGGCTCCTCTGGAGCCGTGCGGCGATGAGGCACGCTGGAACCTTGCGTCACGCTCTCATCGGCCCCAAGAGGTAGCCGGATGATCTTCTTCACCTCCATGGCACACAAGTCAACAGTGACCATAAATCCAGCGGAAAGCTGTAGTGGTTGGAGTCTGGATCGTTGTTTGCCGGGTTTCTCATGTACATGAAGACCTGAGCGTGCCTCGTCTGTGTATCCTCGCCATCCACACCATAGTCCCACGGGTCAAGAACAACCGTAGTGTCATCAATCTGCAGACGCTTAATCTCCGCTTGTACTGCAGGATCGGCCATGACAGCCTGGGCCACTTCGTTCATCTCCGCTCGGTCACCCGGACCATGGAAGTCTCGGGGAAGCTCGGCGTGGTGGACGAAGTTGCCATTGGTTACATCTACCACTGCTTCGAACAGCCGAGGCGTCCTTTTGATATACCAGTTGAGGAATATGCATCTTGGGAGAAAGGGTAGGGGTTTGTTGTTGTGTTCAGCGTCCAGGAATTCGAGCAGAGCCGCCTTGGGTGGTTCCTGCAGACCACCGGCCTTGAAGTGCAGGGGAATCCCAGGATAGGCGTCTTTGACCAAGGTGGTAGCCTGTTCGATCTCGACCGCGGTAGCGGGGTCAAGAGGATGAAGTGACATTGTTTATCGGCAACTTGAGACTTGAATTGGAGGGTGAGATGATGGGTTTCGGTCGCTGTCGGTGGTCTGTGTATTCTGGGCCAGGGTCGGTGGTCCTTTATATAGAGGGACTCCCTTTTGGGCCCAGTCAACACGCTGCGCGATAGGGTCTTATCGAGAGATTGGGTGTTAATACAATCCTACTCGTCAAACGTCTGGATCTGGGTAAGCGGAGCATGTGTGAGAGTGCAACGGCGGGCCGAGTCGATGAACTGTCCATGAAGAGCTGCATGTCACCCCCGCACTGATTGAAGGCGGATTGGATGAAGCTTCCGGCCAGATTCCGTCCATTCGGGATTCGTTCGATCCTCCGTTCATTCATCTCGCCGTGGGAGGCTAGAATTATCTGTTATCAATTGTTTTCGTTTCCTGTCATGACTACCGCTGATAAGTGTTAGATACAATCCGGAGACGCGTAACAAGTCGCACTATAACCATACCGCCACAGCGCATGTGGCAACTAACGAACACGCATTAGGGATCTCATTATGATATCTCATTTTCCCTTCATATATGCACATTAACTCGCTTCAATGCATATGTACCATCGGAATATAGGATTTTAACGTTGGGATGGAACTGAACACAACTACTAACTTACGCCGGATGAAAACCACGGATTGAAATCGGACTCCCTCAAAACATATATAAGAGGTACAGCTGAGATCAGTTTTATTATGCCCACAAACGAAAATGAACACAATATGGCACTTCAACTAGTAGTACAATTACTAAGTCGCTTAAATTCGACGTATCCAGGATGTATAAATTGCCATAATATATTGCCAGCAGTCACCTCACATTATCCCCTATGTGTCCACAAACAATCAGACCCAAGTTCCTGCTAACAATGCAACTGACAGGAAACAATCTTACTACTCCTACTACCATATGCTGGGTTCCATCCATCTGCTTTACAGTGATTTAGTGCATGACTCACATAATTTCTAACAAGTAGTAGTAAATCTGATAGCAAAATGAACAACCACGTCAGTGTAGGACCTGTGATAAGTATCGATATACCTGGAATACATTCCAAAGAACCTCGATGCTGAAAACATACAGAGTTGAATGAGACAGTCCGCATATCAAGAAATACTATCACCGACCCCCGAAGAAAGGAAAGAAGGATCTTGCAAACAAACAAACTTAATCTAGCCTGCATGTAAGCATAAAAGAAATCACACGCAGCCCCATCAATCTCAGCTGATCTATGTCTTTTTGTGTTACTTCCGACTTCGAATATTGGATCAATCAATAACAGATTATATTACCGAGAAGAAAAAAGTATATTGCAAGTCATACTAAATGTAACCAAACAATCAGAAAGACATGGCTAGTGGACTGATAATTAGAACTTCGATGGTGACCGTCGGGTTTCATCTATATTCCAGAGCTGATTACGCAGTACTGAGAATTGCATCTCACAAATAGCGAAAAACATCTGTTCGATAATAATGCAAGCTCTCTCATTGTCTGATTTTATGTTAGCCACTTCTTTCGAGGGAATTTGAGCTTCGACGCATGTGGGTGGCTACACCAGATGCATAGATCCTGCACTACGATAATCTGTTACCCGATAGTATTTCCGGGTCGCCAATTAGGAATTTTTTTGTTCTTCCAAATCTTACACAATATATTGATTGTCTGAATTGACACATGATTCGGTGCAAGGGGGTATCGTTCAGAAAAGAGTGTGCAGTTGAAAACCGAGGAGATACAACGTACTAGAAATCCCAATAGGCTACTATGTGGCAAACCATCGGCAGCGCAACAAGTTGCAGCGCATTCATGATGCTGCAGACTAGCCGGTTACTCTCTTCTGCTTTTCCTTACCGAGATTGCCCAAGGGCCACGGATGGGGCGCTTCGTGCAAGCTCTTTGCAGATGCAAGCCAAGAAGTATGTGTCGGAGAGATGGCACTTATACAAATACCACTTTTGAGGATATTCGCTGGTTGCTATTCAGCGATGTTCAGCTCGCAATTCATTATGGGGTTTAGATGTTGCACAAAAAAGGTCGAACGCCTGGCCTTGATTTCAGATGCTTGTTCCCAGACAAGGATGAAGTTAGGTACCGTGTACAGGCACTACCCTACCCAAAAGGCCTATCGACCTTGTGCTCCTCGGTGGGTGTTCAGGTGCAGCGATCTCTGGCTCATCAAGCGTCCAATGGCTGGACAATAGAAAGTCCGCGAAACTTAGCTGCGTCGCCTTACACTCATCCTCGGAAAGCTACTGCAGGCAATCCCACATCGGACAGGATGGTTCGTGATGCCTGCACCAAATGCAGCACCTGAAGAAATTGTCCGCAAAAGGCGCTGACAGGCTCACCGTAGCATGGCTGATTACTGTATGTACTCCGTATTCCCGTTCACCGTGGTTGGACAGGCACTGATTTACCCCTTGTGACAGAGCTGATCACTAGTGCCAATTAGCCTCTGCTATGAAATCATGGTTGACTGATCGCCGTATCCCGGCAATAAGGGGCGGGTTTATCAGTTGCTTGTCTCAGATGGACTGGGCGACTGGCAGAAGACGATCTCCGGCACTGCGGTCGTTCCCGGACGCTCCGGCAAAAAAGGGATAGGCAAGGCGTCTGGATCATCGGCAGTTATAGACTGTTATTATTATTTTTTGGCGATCTTACTCGTTTCCATTTCCCCCTTGGGTACTTGGGTACAATGTTCCGTAAATGTTTCGTGCTTTTGCGCCCAACATCCTGGATGGAATTACGCCCCTCGTGGGCAAGGTGGTAGATCACATCCCACAATCCTGCATGCAGGATCAGGCCTTTAATTGATCGCCGAATTGGCAGTGGCCAATCGTTAGGGAGGTTTTCTTTCTTTGGCGACAATCTTGCCTTTCCTGCTCACAGAAGGAAAAGCAACGGGACCAATGTTTATCCATACATTTCCCAGTGATTTGTAGATATCCATTCTACTGTGGCTCAAGATATAGTGTCGTTGGGAGCTGAGGCGAACGTACGTGTATGTGCACATGCAAATATCCATACTGGCGTGAATTGTACTTTCTCCGACTATTAATTGACCAACTGAGAGCCAGAATCGCACTGCAACGTTAGCAGGGAGCTCATGACTACACTTCGTATGCTCAGGTATAGGCGTTGCTTATGAACGACGTACGAGTCGCACTCGTGTTAGTCTGTTTCAGGTAAAACCATATTAAATGTCTTAGAAAGAGGAGAGTGAACACATCCCACTCGCACTGGCGTCGTCGTTTCCTTTAAGTTTCTGATGTGTACGACTGTACGGAGAACCATGTACGCAATGTCAAACCGAGCCTCAGGTATGACGCACTGGCGATGCTATTTATTGCCCAGCGAGAGATCCGAGTGTCAATAGTTGCCTCATTTCGCTAATCTGTTCATTGCCTGGTGGTTCCGTGGGTGGTCGTCCTGAGATAGATTGCGTGTCCTGACTCGAGACCCACACGGACGGTCCCAAAAGTCACTGGCGGACCCTCCTTGACTGACACGCCCCCAATTGACAGCCCGGTAGAACCGAGGTTTTGGACCGTGGGATTCGTCGTCTTCAGTCTCCATCGAGTGTCGCACGTTCAATGGTACCAATTTGGCATGGTATGATGGATCAAGTAATTCAGCAATCGATCAATCAACCATCTGACTAGAATTACGAAGGAGGCGCGCACGACCTGCAAAATTTTATTGCCTGGTGCGGCCAAAAGATCGAGACCGAGCGAAGAAAACCCCCCACAGCCACCAGAACGGACGCCAGGGCTCAATTTTGAATTTCGAAAGTCCGCCGTCTATTTGGCTCCATTTATCGGCGCCCTAAGCCCTCTTGGGAGGTTAGTTCGTGCCGACCACGAAGGAGTTTGTCCTCCGAGCGGACTAAATCCTGCCTGCTGGAGCCCGGAAGCTCTTACGCGGAAGTCTGGCTGGTCAACGATGCATCCTCCGTGCATATCCCCTTATGCAGCCTGTGGCGAGTAGGCAGGCGTAAAAATAAATCAGCTGCGCAGAAAATGTGGATTTGTTTTGCAATTGAGAGGGGCCTTTCTTTTTTTTTTCTTTCCCTGACGCTTCTTGCTGCTTATCCACTCTCAGAAAGTACCTTGTCGTTGCCGGTTAGCAAAGAGACCAGCCAGCGGGGTTATAGCTGCTCTCCCACAGTGACATCCTAACTAGACTGGTGCGTAGATGTTAGTAAACAAACAATCTCGTCTACCGTTAGACTAGCGGGCGATGATTGGCAAGCGAAACGGTTGGAAAGACGGACTGGAGCTCACCAGGACGGGTGACATCCATGGAACCGGGATGAAGCCGATCGATCGTGGAGTTAAACCGGAATGGACGGCAGCACTTGAGTGGCCGAAGAAGGAGCTGGGATGGAGGCCGGCGGAAGAGAGAAGGAAGAGAAAGTGGGTGCGGCCAAAGTCCAGAACGGCGTGTGGTCGAGACAAATCGGAGTTGCTAACTTCACTTGGGCCGTCCGCGCCATTCACGTCTGACTAACAGCTATCCACCTCCCCTTCCCTTCCCCCTCTTCCTCCACACAAAACACTCGGCTGGTCCCTGTTCCTGTTCGTGATCTTTTTCTTAAAGTATCTGATTTCTCGCTATCCCCGCTCGTTATCCTTTGTTCTAGACATCTCACTTTCCCTTTCCCCCTTCTTCTCACTTCCAACACCACGTCTCATCGGTCGGCACCTCCTTCGTCGCCCTTGTTGTGTCTCACTCGTTCTCTCCACAATCGTTTCTCCACTCAGATCATCATTGGAAACTATTGCTGGCTAACGTCAAACCGCCAGCTTGGTTCTTTATTGCTCTCTGATACATCGAAAAAATATACAAAGGAACCAACACGAATAAGGGGAACTATCTAAAAAGTTCTACCTTATCGCCTTCATTTCCATCATCGTGATTCGCCCATCTTGTTTGCTTTGAAAGCAACCTTATCCGGGTACTATTGCCTCTGTGTGACTCGAATTCATACATCTAGTATCTGCGTCCTCGAGGCCTTTCCACCCTTCTAAACCGATCCTTCGCTTCTCCTTAGCTGTTTCGTTTTCCAAAACTGGAAAACAACCAATCACTCAAGCCGAACACAAAGAAACTTAAAAAGATATCACTACTCCACCGGCGGATCGAACTGACACCCTGCCGGGGCTGATCCAACCGAGGCACTTCCGCAGGAACGTTTGCCCCCCTCACACCGAGAAGGAAAGGGATAAGCGCTCCTGCTCTCCCTAGCCAAGGGCCCTTCTTGTCGTTTCCCAGCTTGATTCTTAAGGCGCATATCCGTGCTATGGGAGGACAGGTTACACGCAGCTGATGCCAGCCGTCATTGCAAGTAACTCCTGCCCACTTTGATCTCCTGCACGTCTTATCACGTCGCACACACAATTCCCCTGGCTTCGCTTTTCCCCGACTGGACCTAGTCCGCTTGTTATCCCAGACTGGTTTTTATATCCCGGTCTTTCCATAGGTCCCTGTTAACAAGCTGACCTTGTCATTCTTCACTCTTGACTTTCGTTCCCATCTCCATCATCAATGTCATCAAATATGACGCGTGTCGAGGAACCTCTGGATGCCCCTGATGGCTCTGGCCTTACCTGGATCTTTGACCATTGCCTCCGCTACCCTGGTACCTATGAGATCCCATTGCGCACCATGTACTCGCTAAACTGCAATCCCACGAGACAACCGGCGCCTGGTACTCGTGCTCCCGAAACGGCCTTTCATCGCCCCACCAATTCGTCGACTTCCCAGGACTCGTTGGACCCTGCCGCTGATTTCAGAGCTCAATTGACTCATCAGATTTCGCGGTTGCCTTCACAGCCTTGCTCGCTTCCCCCAACTTTCGTCACCTCATTCCTGCGTCGTTGCTTCACCCCTGAGTTGGAAGAGGTTGATTTCCCCCAGGCATTGACTGCCCTGGACTACCTCAAGGACTTTGAAACCCGTCGCCGGAAAGAGGTTGCAGACGCGCTGCAACGGCTAAAAGTGGAACCCAATGATGTGAAGGAGAAGGCCCAGCTGGCGAAAAAGAACCCTGGCGCTTTGACTTGGCTTGAAACTATTACTGTTCAGGGCCGCCGAGTGGAAGCTCTTTACACTCAGATATACGTTGGTCTGC